CCCACTGCATTACTATGAGAAAAGCACACTGAAAAAATAAGTTAATATCTCCTGTTTTCGTTTGTTTCAACCATTTTTATGGGAGGAAATACGCGAACTGTGGAGAATCCTTAAAATGTCACAAAACCTTCATAACCTATAAAAAACAAGATAAAAACTCCCCGCACCCCTCTCCGCTTCCCCCCCCCCCCCCCCCCCCCCAAAAAAAAAAAATAAACAAAAACAACAACAACGCCAAAAAGATGCGAACTTTTGAAATTATTTTCTAGAGCTGTCTGCATTGGGAAACCTACTTCACTTTTTGAAGTGTTGGATGCGGCATCGGTGGTCGGTAGTCTTTGAAGTGGTAGATGTGGCATAATATAACAAATTTGGTGTGCTTGCATTGTTTAACTTTTTTTTTTTTAAATCTGCCGTATTCGTTAGGGTTAGCAGACACCGGGAGATTGACTCGACATATATTTCTTGGTTGGTTCATTACACTAGCTAATTCTGCCAGTTAAAGTGGGAGCCAACACTTGTACATCTGCCACATGGTAAAATTTAATGTCTGTACCATCGAGAGACACGTAGTCTGCCCATGGTACTGACAAATCGTCAGCACCATCGGAGGAAATACGCGGCAAATCAGCTCGCCATCCCGACTACGAGCGTCGAGCGTGCACCGCGCTGCGCCAGTAGTGGTGGGTGCTGATTGGCTGGTCAGATGATGTCAGTCAATGGAACTGGCATTACACTTTACTGTGCGGCAGGTATATACGCTAGACGGTCAAAACGAACAAAGCTTATGATGGCCATTTTTGAGTAACGAGCGCAGTGTGGCGGTTTGTCCGCGAACTACAAGTGAAGGGCAGCCCAAGAGGACTTAGATTTTCCAAACACTATGACATCGTTCGTTTGTATCTGTTTTCATTCCTTTTTATGCCCCATGCTACCTTTACCCAGAAAACGAATTGTCAAAGAAGTCGAAATACTCGGAAAGATAAGCGCTGACAATGTTGGTCCTGCGGGATGGTGCCTGCGAAAATGGAGACCGAGAGAAGCACGGTCAGGGGAGATGGTGTACGCATGCGCGGAAGCTTACTGAAGAAAGGTTCATTGAGGCAGGTACCCCGACAAGAACCAGGGCAGCAGCTGCCTTATTCGTTGGCAAGACTGTGTGAATAGTCATTTTTGAACGGACTGTTTGTATTTTACGATTCTGAAATTGTCAGCAGTACATCAATTTTCGCTACTCAGCTCCTGAAGGACCGCTGTGCCGGTAACTTCGTCAGAGTTCGTCGCAGACCGTATATCCGATGTCGGCTGTTTATAGGCTTGCTGTGATACGGCTGCTGAAAAGCTAAGAAAGCCGGCGACAACATAACTGCGCGTCGCACTTATTTCTTGCACCAATAAAAGAAAAACCAGAAAAACGCGGAGCTGTTTGGTGCCACATTGTTCAGGAGAGCATACACACAGTCAGCAGGAATGAATGCGGCTGCAAACCTCTATCTCTAGCGATAACGCAAGATTTACGCGCGAAGAGAGTTCACTAACGACTCTCAGAGGACGAAATTAGAACTGAGAAAGATAAGACGAGAGAAATGAAAAATGCGCCTTCATTCTTCGTGTGCCTAGAAGCGAACTGCTTGGCGTTGAATGCTATCTACCGCTTCTGTGCAACTCATGGGTAGATGAGCAGATTATAATCCACCCATTGCCACTCTATTTAATGTCTAGTCGACGTTGTCACAGTTTGAGGCCTGGCGTGGAAAGGCAAGGTTCTCAAGCTGGGCTTCTAGTTTAATAAACGAACTCGGTTGGCATAACACTAACTATAGCAGAGATGGAAGGGCGGTTGTAATAAAGGGTAATAAAATTACGGAACACGTAACACACGTTGGACACTTTTCGACCCATAAACAACTAAAAAGGGATGTCAGGATACCCAGAAGGGTTCATATGGAAACGCGTTTAGCGACGTTTTGACAATGACTTCAAAGGACAACTGCTGTTGAAGCTTAACAAGGTTGTGAGTGACAAAGAGGAACAAAATGTAACCAGTATGAACATATGTCAGCATTTCTGATTTCGTAATAAAAAGTTTAAAGACGTAACGTGAAAAGTAATTAATTACTTTTAGGTAAGTTTCCAATTACATTTTTGATGCAGTAATTTAATGTATTTTGTTAGATATTTCTATAAAGTAATTGTAGTTCTAATCGGTTATTTTTTTTCAGTAACGCGTACAAGACTGCAGTCTGATATACCTCCGAAGCACAGAATGTGCCGTGCTTTGCACTATGTGTGCGTTATGATTTGGTATGTTTTTTTACGGGTTCCTGTGGATGATTATGGGTTCGTTTCATAGACGACCTACTAGGGGTGTTCGAACAGTTGTTCAAACCGAATAGCCCATGCAGTGTCATCTGTAGCAACAACACTGTTAAGAGAACCGGCTATTGTTCCTCTCCTTTGCACTGTAAAGGTAACGAATGATGCAACGCTGTTCGATTCGAACCACTATTCGCACACCCCTATGACCTACTCATGTGCTGTCCGGATTTATCAGAAATATCGAGAAAAGTTTAAATTTATCAGGGTGGGAGTATGTGAGGATTATTTAATATGAAATTTCCATAGGTTCTGCTTCTTGGAGCGTGCGTGTAGCGGTTTGAGTCTTTACTGCTCTTGAATTACGAGGAGCCCCTCGTGCTAACTGAAATATTCTCGAGGGAAGAACGTTTGTCACTCCCGCTATAGTATCTATTGGCTGCTTTGCGAAGTCGTTACTCATAAGCCGGTGGCGCTATTCGTTGGTGCGTTACAAGGGTGTTATCGTACATCGTTTTCACCGGCCCGCAACGCGCTCCGCAGCCACTACGATACCCGAAACTCTACAGCCAATGCCTTTAACGCGCAAACGCAGTAGCGTTCGTTTTTTTTTTCTTTTTGAGGAGGGTTTAGCGGAGGAGGAAACGCAGTCTACGAAAACTCATCATTATTCACCGCGTAACGCTGCAGGTGATTCCTAGGAAAGGCACCTACGGGCGTCCGGTAAATTTTCATCAAAAACAGAGTCGCTTTGCTTTATCTTGCAGTCGTAAAAACGCTCCTTCATGGCATTCTGAAATAATATCCACATAAAAACAGTTTGATAGACATTATGCACTAACCTAAGATCATCATGTTTTACAGTTAATTAGAAGGGACGATCATGATTGGCATTCCGCTATAAACTCTCTTGTCGCTTCAACTAAACTGCGGGACACTATTACCGCGGACACGACTTCGGAGCTTTTTCGTCTTTTCCTTTGAAAGGGTGCATTCGGGCATCAAAACTTTCCGTTCAGTAATCCAACTGAGCACTTTCTACCATTATAGCTGTTTTAATGGTAGTCGCGAGGGAAAAAAACAACAACAACAAAAAACGGCGATGCTTTTTTTTTTTGGTGTGTGTGTGTGTTAACAGTGGTCGTGGAGTGTACGTCGCAAACTTCATTCTTTCTCTTCCGCCTGGAATCTTTCTTCATTCAAAATGTCCATCGAAACTTCATTGATACAGTATCGACATACTTTTTATCATTCTACAATAGACTGAACCGCAAGGCCCCGGGCCACGAGGTCCAATCACGTTTCCACGCTAAACTATGACATGCTTAACATTGCTTAGGGGTGGACGAAAAATGACCCGGATCAAAAAGCGCTGCATGATTTCTATAGCTTCGACACTGCAAAGAGCCTATATGTCGTGGCTTTCTTTGCAACGTAAAATTGATGAGTTACTCAGTGCTATTTGATTCGAGTCCACCCAGCCCCATCAGTGATCCGAGACGCGGTCAACGATGCGTGCATCGAAGCGAAATACCACGCAATTTTAAGTGGCTCGTGATTGGCTCTGGCGGTTCGTAGCTTTTTTCCTTCAGTCCATTGTAGGGTGAGACAAGACATAAAAACGGTACATAAAAAATTACCCACAGCAAGAGGCAGTTTCTGATTTATTCTACGCGACTAAAGTTTGATACTAATTGACGTTGCTGACGATGAAAATGAACTACAAAAGTTCGCTTTCCGCCTGAAAGGAATGCACAACTTCCCTTTTTAATCTCTGGATCGTATCAGTGAAAACAAAATCGTAAAACCCTGTATTAATTGAAATGCAGTTTGTTTGCTTAGTTTCAGACTAAGCCCTTCGCACTGCATCACCGGTAGAGCTCGTAAATTTAGCCACAAAACACGGTTTATTTCCCGCGATATATTAGATACGCTGGACGTCTCATTTCTTAACCTATTATAAAAAACGCAAGCCATCACTATTCTTAACATTTTTGCAAGATGTTGTTTCTTCGCGCTCGGTGGTTATACTTATGGCCCATATAACCATAAGTATATTTACTTATGGTTATATAGGCCGTACTTGCAAACGTCTATAAGGGACGGAACGAAAGACCCGCTCTTATACCGGCACAAATATCCCTAGTTTCGAATATCTGAAGCGATCAGCAAAGTTACGGTTGCTTTTACAAGTAAGGACCAATTAGTATTATCTCGAGTCATCAAGTAATCTATTTGAAGTGAAATGAAATGAAATCTTTATTTCCAGAAATTTACTCTGGAGGGCCCCCTGACAAAAAGCTACCGTATGGTAACTTGACTGGGTTTGGGGCCCTAAAGCTAAATCGAGAGTAATTGTAATTCTAATCGATTAATTTTTTTTGAGTAACGTGTACGATTGTGCCGCTAGGCAACGAAATGGCTGCTGTCACGAGAAAACGGGAATTGTGGCTCTCGATAATCTAGACGTTTTCATGTTTTTCATTTAGTAGCTCTAGTTTATTCGAGACATTTGATGACCAGCCAGCACAATTTAGAGGATTTCTCTTGTGCTCTTTTTCGCGTAATGTGTCAATATAATATATCTTTATGTGCTCAACGAAGCGTCTGTATGTAATGTACGCATAGATGTTCTCTCCCCATTCAGTGTCCCTCATATTTCCTGCTCTGCGTTCCGTTGCAGTGCCCGGTCGGGCTCCCCGCATCACCGAGCACCCGGGCGACGTGGTGGTGCGCAAGCACGAGCCGGTGACGCTGCGCTGCCGGGCGGACGCCGAGCCCCCGGCTCGCCTGTCCTGGTTCCACGAGGGCCGCCCGGTGCGCAACTCGGCCACGCGTATGGTGCTGCCGGAGGGACAGCTCTTCTTCCTGCACGTCCAGCACAGCCGCAGGGACCAGGACACGGGCATCTACTGGTGCACGGCATCCAACGCGCTCGGTGTGGCACGCTCCCGCAACGCGTCCGTCGAACTCGCAGGTAAGCCGCACCATCCACTATTCGCGCAACATAGAACGTAGCTTCTCTGCTGCTTACCGTTTCCGTCGAAACGAGGCCATCCCGTGAACCACGGAGGACAGATATGACTTCCGCAGGTACAACTTAAACCACGAAGAAAAAGCCTGGAGCCTAAACATGAAGTGGCTACCAACACCCATATGCCACCAAAGGGAAACCTGATAGAGGAAGTGTACAGTCGGGGACAAAAGTCTCCAGGACACGCGAGCTGCGACTGAAACGCATTGCTCTGCCATCTGCCGGTGGGTCGCCTGGTTTCGAGATCACAGAAAAGCGCATGCGCGTCCTGCTATGCCTGCCAACATGTGCGCTTTCCCGCTCTTCTGCGGCGCGGCGCCTAACTCGGAATCGGGCGCGTGGTACCGCCACGGAGATAGCGCTTACTGACATGGCACATATCAAGCAAGAAGTCACGGCATCTCAACTGAGCGATAAGCTCAACTGGTTATAAAGCAAGATGCGCTGACGCGGCGAAATGCCCCAGGCGGTATCTCGAGTTTCGGAATGTGTAGCAGACGCTCGTCAGCCGCCAGCGCTATCTCCGAGGCGGTACCACGCGCCCGATTCCGAGTTAGGCGCTGTGCCGCAGAAGAGCGGGAAAACAGACATGTTTGCAGGCAGAGTAGGACGCGCATGCGCTTTTCTGTGATCTCGAAACCAGACGACCCGCCGGCAGATGGCAGAGCAATGCGTTTCAGCCGCAGCGCGCACGTCCTGGAGACTTTTGTCCCCGACTGTACATGCCCGCTCCGGTTTCAGATTCTTGCTCCAGGAAACGTCACTCAATAATCGGCGACTTATCTCGTGACACCATATCACCATGCTGGCGTCCAAGGTACCACAATATGAGAACCTAGAAAAAAAAAAGAATAACGCTAAGAAACAAAAAAAAAATAATTCGGTCACGCGAGATCGTTATTTGGATGAGATTACACATGAGATCCCACGAGGCAGAGGGCCTTAGAGCGATCAACTGGCAGGTGAATGTCACCCCCAACTGGCCGCCGTGATGTTGCAAATTTCTGACCACTTGACACGTGACCTTATAGTTTTACGTCTAGATCTTAAAGGACTACCATGCAGAAATAATTACTTACTTATCTTTAATAACAGCACAGACGAGATAAGTAGTGTTTCGTTTGTTTGTAGTCCAAAATATGACTTTACGACAAAACCTTGGGCAGCTTCGCAATGCCTCCGCTAGATGCCGTCAGCCGCGGTGCTGTATCTTGGGTTTTTATTGGAGCTGCAGAGTGATCTCTGGGGCTAACAGTCTTGAAAAAAAACATGGTTAATCATGTTTTCTACAGCGATCGCAGTACAACTGTCGGCGCAGTTGTGCATAAAAGCCTCAAGATTTGGTACGGTCACATGTCTAGTCGTCAAAATTGTACAACCGCCAAGTGTGGGTGTCTTTTGCCTGGTGAACGGGATACCAGTTTATCACTCTAAGCCCCTCTACTTCGTTGGTGTGATTACACATTGCCCATCATGTTATCGCCATATCATCTCTTTAGAGGTTTAATGTTTTTTTTTTTCCTTCGGGCACTTTCGACGCAGTCATTTAAGTCCTAGTGCGCTTGCTTTTTGATAATCGCTGGAGCCTGTGGTACAGTCATGTAATCAAGCCGCACACGGAACCAAACATTACGGAAGGGCCTTGAAAGGCACACTTACAGGGTCGGAACAACTTGTTCTTTCTTTACATTTTACGCCATTTTTTGCAAATCAACTGCAACATCGCCTGTCTTTGCTGTCTTTTTTTTTTAAGCTTTCAAGAAAGTATTAGTTAAAGATTCCATATGGTCATCATGAAAACAAAGTCACTACGTGTCAGAAATCAACGTGGAGTTTTAAACGTACTTGTTCGGGACGATCGAATCTGCCTAAAAATCAGTATTGATCGCAAGAGGGATTTTATCATACCTTCAGTGAACTCGCTAACATTTAATAGCAGAAATCGAACACAAAAATGTCGCTGCAATTTTATTTTTTTTATTTTGATGAGATATTTGAAAGGCTTGAAAATCTAGTTTGGGTCCGCCGCCGCATGCATTCAATATCGACGATTTCTTCGGTCATGAACAGCTGATGATAATGGTGAATCGATACGTGTAAACCTTTACTCGTATCATTCTGTTTACTTGACAATATAGTTTATTTTCTTGTTTCTAAAAGAGTTTGCTATCTATGAAGTTCAACGCGAGCAATGCCAGACCCAACACATCTTGCAGGCGCCTATCGGTGTGACCGCGTTGCAGCTATTTGTTTAGTTTACTTACTTAACTGGTTGAATCATGACGCTTAAGTCGAAATGACTAACATCTTGTGGTTCACTTGATTTCTAATTTGAGTTTTTTTTTGTATTCGTCATTTTAATTTTTTCAATACAGTATTTGTAAGCCACCTACCATTGGCAAAAAAAAGTTAGTTGCTGAGTTGAGCCCAGTGTATCCGGCCACTATGAACAAGTGTGAGTTTTAATGACCAGAACTATAGTCACGCTGCGTAATTTGACGACTAGCTCTAATACAAGACATTCCTAACCAGCTAGTCGTTTTCGAAGTTGACAGTATTTTGCACAGAATGTCACGAGTTCTTTGCAGCATCGTGGATGACATTGGAGCGATCGCGTGGATTTTAAACGTACATTCGTTGAACGAGCGCTCCTGAAGTTAACGTGTTCCACAGGGCTGCTTTACTCCGTAAGTCCCAATAGCGCTGTACATAACTTCGAGATAAAATATTTGTGTCATAAAATCTAATTAATGCCACTTTTTTTTTTTTTTTTTTTAATATGGCAAGTTACGAAGAGATACAACGACTAGTTTGCCTTTGTACCGTAAGGGCTGCTCTAGACGCACCGCTATTTCGTTAGATTAGACACTCCTCGTTTAACTTTTCTTTCGTCGTTGCTGTTTTTTTTTTTTTCTTAAATTTTTAGAAGGCGGAGCAGATCGAATTATTTGAAAGTTGTCACTTTGGATGCAGCCGTAAAGCTGGCTTCTTAGCACAACCGGTTCTGTACTAAAGAACGCGGCTTTACAGGATCTGCTCGAAGCAATCAATAAAGGCCGGTTCACACATGAATCGCAGTGCTCAGGGGATGAAAAGTTAGCACTGCACCAACTATAATGGGGAATCGTAGTAGACCGTTTCCGCAGCCCGCTAAGCAACTGGATAGCGCTCCGTAATCCGCCACAAGACCTTGAACTATGCAGACAAGGCTGGCGGTGCGCATGCGCAGCTGCGGCGTTTTCTTCGGGGATACCGTAGCGGAGGAGAAAAACGGTCTACTACAATTCCCCATTGTCAGCGCTCACTGAGCGCTGAAAACGAAAAGTCAAGAAAAGTCCAGCGGCAAAGGCAGCGGTGCCCTGATACAGGGCTGACATAGCGGAAACTTTAGCGATGTGTCAATAGCGCTGAGTTGGCTGCGGTGTATGTTTGAACAGGCCTTAAGTCCACTACATAATCCTGACGCAATCGTTTACCTACAGTTTCTTTTTGTATCATTTTCTTACACTGCGCATATTCAATGCTCATAGGTCAAATTTTCAGATTTTTAGTAATAATTAAAATGGCCACCGCACCCACACTCGCCAGCCAAATAACAACGTCAAGAGGCGCATTGCGAGCTACGTAAGCTAGCACTTCTGATATTAATTTCAAGTTTTTTCTATAAGGGCGCACACATTCATTTCAAGAAAGTGCAGTTATCATCCAGATTAAGGGGCGGGCATTGAGCTCAAGGTTGGACCAGGGCACCCGCGTTTTGGAACGCGAGCTCTCGCTCTACCTGCTTCAAGCTGAGGTCCAAAAGATCTTCAAATTTACCTTATGTTTTTCTGTATGCGTCTCTCTATTCGTATCTGGTATCTTAGTTTTAATTAAACGAAGGGACTGATCATTTCATGAGAGAAGTTGAAATCATAGGCGCAAAGTTTGGCAAATTCAAAGGTTTAAAGGGTTAAAAAAAAAAAAAATCTGCCGTATCCTAAGTTTGCTTCATATTCATTCGACCCCAAAGACATTGATTACGAAGTATTACGTGGAAATCTTGCGTCTGGCTTCCATCACCGTGTTTCAAAATCGCGTTCCTTGGACTGCCCGAAACGACCAAGCGACACTCCTTGTAGCATGATAAACAAAACGTCATGACAGCTAAGTAACAAAATTGAGCAGATATTCCACCTTATTTAATATTCGAATAATAAATTGGGAACTATGAAACATCAAATAATTTATTTCCATTCTTGTATCGACTGAATGCTGCTACATCACGTGATCGAGGTACAGTGTCGTTCTTAAACACATCCGTGTCTTCTGCCGTTTGGTAACTCTCCCAATTATACTGGTCGTGATGAGAATGCAGTTAATGCAGAGCTGAAAGCGAGCTGGACAAGTCTGACAAAATATTCTTTGGAGAAGGGTAACAAGGGAGAGAAAGGACAAACACAAATCTCCAAACACAAGTAGGTGACTGGCAGCTACCGAAAAAATCTGCCTGATCCTGGTATTGAACGAGGGACCTCTCCATTTCTAGTGGAGCACTCTATTACCTGTGCTAACCAGGAGTTACACTCCGTCTCACTTAAACTGTGCAGTACAACCAAAGCCACAGGGGAGAGAGTGCACCCCGACCTCTTCAAGTTGAGGGAAAGGAGGAACGGAGGAATCCAAAGGGAAATCCTAGTCAGTCTCTCCCGTTCCACCTTTCCCTCCACTTCAACAGGTTAGCATACGCTCGCTCCCCTGCAGCTTTGGCTGTACTGCACAGTTTTCGGTCGCGCACCAGTTACTTAGCTGTGTTTGGAGATTTGTGTTTGTCCTTTGTCCGCATTCTTCCTCTTCTCAAGGGATTATTTTCGTCCTACTGCCCGTCCCGCCTGAAAGCGAATCAGTACTTTTCTGGTTGAACCGACAATGTATTCGCGGCTCATCATTTGGCAATCGTACCT